TAATCAGAATTATTAAACAAGAATATAATTAATCAATCCAATTTAGTTTTTTCATATTCCAATATTTAGTATCAATTGTCATAAATATATCAAAATCTGAATTTTGAATCTAATTATCAGCATTGGGTAAATCGATTAAGCATTAATAAACTTCTATACAATATATATAATGATAATATTTGAAAAATTTTAAAAGATAAAAACTTAGAATTATTTTTTAGTAAAGAAATAGCTAATTCACTTTTGTGATTGATACTAAATATTAACTAGTTTCAACTATTCAATAATAAAGTATATAATACTAAAGTTATATATATGGCTATCACAAATTTGTCACGTGAAATATGATTTAAACACAAAAATATGTTGATTCTTGACATATTATCAGATCCTAATAAACCAAATTTACATTAAATAAACCATTACCTTTCTCAATTGTCAACAAATTGATGCAACTATGACAAGAAATAAAACTTGATTCAACTATCAAAAATGAAGAGAAAAAAATAATTCCAATAATCTTAATTTTAAATTCATGTGATATTCCTGTAATACAAAAAGTATATAGACACATTTCAACATTAATATTATTATGTTATTGTTGCAATAAGAATATCAATTATAAAAATAATTATTATAATTTTGATGGTATGAAAGATATAAATAAATAGTTTATATCAAGAAATTTGACAATACATAAATGAGATTCTATCAAATGGAAATGCTATAACTCAAATGCAACATAAAAATATTTTGTTAATTAGAATCATGCCAGATAGTTCAAATTTCTTTACCTACCTTATTTTAATCCAATTCAGTATTTAGTTATTAATTTTATATACTGTCTTTTCTTAGATATTATTAAATGGTTCATTAAATGAATATAAATTAAAGAAGAAATACTGATGAATAATATATTGAATAAAATATAATTAATAATGAAAAATTTTTAAGTGTCATCAGATATTAGTCAAATTCTGAAAAAAGTAAATAGTAGCGAAGAATTTTTGAACTTTACTGCTAATCAGTAAAGAAATTTTTCACAATATATGCAATCTTCATTTTATAGAAACATCTTTCAGATGTGGGTTATCAAATTCTAACAAATTTTGTTAAGATTTATCAAATTTTAATATGCCAAATTTTAAGATAAAATTCATTAAATAAGGCTTATGAAAGATTAGTCACAATGATTAAACTAATAGAATAAAAATATGAAAAAAAAAATTACTTTAAATCTTTATCTTTTATTATATTTATATGAATATACATATAATTATGAAATATTGTATGCATTTTGGTGCTTTTAATTTGAGAGAATAAATAGTATATTAGATAGGTTTTTAATCAAATTTGATATTTAAAAATAGGATTCTAATAAATTTTTAATCTGGATTCATTGTTTAATAGTCATCAAAATATTGAATTTTAATTAATCAAAAATTAATAAATGATGATTGAATTATTAATTTAACTATATCCTATTCTAATAACCAAGGGCTTAAAATTTTAAATAATCAATCAAATATAGGTTCAATTTTTGAACTAGATTAGTTTTCAGCTGATTTTTTTTTAAAACCTTCTGTCAGGCTAGTTATGTGTGCTTTATTAAACAATTGTAAGCTATATATTGTATATATGTCACTAAAGCTAAATCTCTAATTAACTCACTCATCAAAGTCTTATATTTATCCAGGACTTTGCAACTTTGAAAGTGATTTATTATTTCATTAGTAGTTTGGGTAGAATCCCTTCCAACTTCTAATATCATTGCTCACAGGTCACTGTTGCAGAATCAGTTTTCAGCTAATGAATTATATTGATTTTTAAACAATATATATAATATTCACTATAATTAATAGATTCAAATATTTTCCAAGTGAACTCTTGTATCTGAAAAAATCTAATTTAAAAGTATTTATTGAAATATTAAATTTATTAGTTAAATATTATGAAACGGCTTATTAAACTATGAACTTTTGAAAATTATTTACAAAAGATAATAAAAATTTAATAATTATTTGAAATAAAGCAGATCAATATGATAGATACTAAATTAGAAGTGAAATATTCAATTCTATTATGTCATTACAAAATATTAAGGGCTTATTTATATTAGCTAGATTTGTGAATCACAATAGAAGTATCGATTTATATTCAATTCTTCTTTATATATTTGATAAACTTTTTGAATAATGTTATTAAATATCAATTGGTCTTAATTCAATGATACAAACTGGTTAATTGACAAAAAATAAATTTTATTTCAGAACTGAAAATAATGTGAATGTTGAATTGTGAAATACTGAATTTTACTCAGTTAAACATGAATATATAATCCCTATTTATAATATTTTGGATCAATTTATTCCATTTAGATATAAAACCTCAAATTAACAAGACTCTTGTAAATATTTTTTTTTTTTAAATGCTAGCTTATTCCTGTACCAGTTCTAAAACTTTATTATAATTAAGATGAGTCTTAAAGACAATTGGGATAAGTAATTACCTATGCTGTCTAAAAATTTACAGATTAACAAATAGTACAAGAGGCCTCTATTTATGTCTCACTCAATCAGAATAGGATAACTATATGACTGTCTAATATAGAACTGTATTTTAATTATAATTTAGCTAAAAATTAAGAGGAATCTTTATATATTCAATCTAATAAAGTGATCTTATTATATTAATATCTCATTATTTAAAATGTCACTTTCTAGAACCATAATTCATTGAACAACTTATTTTTATCCTCTATTTTAGAAAAGTTAACATATCAAAAACTTATCTAAGATATTTAGCATCACCAATGTTGAAGGTTTCTTATATAAAATCTCTTGTTTGCTTTATTAGTATATCAAGATTTTTCCAGAGACTTGTCATGTATCTAGTACCTGTCTTGTTGACTCTTGTAAATATTTAATTGTAATTTCTTTAAATTATAAATATAATATATAATTAAAAATTTAATAAATATATGAATTTTGACAAAATTGAAATTTTGGCAAATGTCTAATAATTTTTTATTGAAAATTTTAATGAAATATATAATTAAAATAGTATAAATTATATGGTAAATAATACTGACTTATATAGTAGAAATTGATTGATGATTTATAGTATTTATGTTAAATTATATAATAGAAATTGATTGACAATTTATTTATATCTTTTTTTTTTTTTTTTTTAACCCACAATTATGCTACAATGGCATGTCTTTATTAAGATATTAAGAAATACTTAAATATTTTACAGACTTTTACAAAGCGACTAACTCGTCATTATACATTATTAGTTAAAGGACTACACTACTTAAAAAATATGAGAAGTTCACTAAGCTAGTTCGAACTAAACAAAACTAAGTCTAAACTAGGTACTCTAAGTTAGATTTAGGGGACAATATTTCATTCTCCTAGTAGCTTGTCAATAGTGCCTCTAAGTCTATCAAGTCATTGTCAACAGTTTGTCACTGTGGATTATTCCGAAAAATGATAAATTGTTAAAGTTGGCACTGGGAAAGGGGAAGGGAGAATACAAATCAAAGCTCTTCAAAAGGTTCTTGCTCCATTTCACAGTTTCCTTTTGAAAGGGATTTGCCTGATTGGGATATTCTTTGAGCTTCATATCGTTTGAAGAACTTAGCCATTCTTGAAAATGACTTCAAGAAGAATGTTTGAAGAACTTATCCTTCTTCTGATGTACGGATTTGCTTATTGCTAGTAAGGCCAGCGCCATATTACAGAAGAGTTTTCCTGACCAGGATAAAGAAATCAACAATTTATTTATATTATTAATATGTCAAATTATTATTTTTTAACAAATGTTACATAAGTAGCATTATGTCAAATAAATGTTTTTTGACTAGTATAGCCTGACAGAAGATTTTTAAAAAACAAAAACAAAAAAGAAATCAAGATTATGAATAAATAAAATTTCTAGATAATTAAAAGAAAAAAGAATATTTTAATAGAGTATTTTTTATTAAGAAAGATCTTAAGAAATAGATCTTTGAAAGAAACTAAAGAATTTTATTATTTTATTATTTTTTTGTCTTGTTATACACTTGTATATTTTTTATATTTCCCTTTATTTTTTTTATTCCATTTTTTTTTTGTAGTTTCCTATATTCCAGTAACTTGATAAAACATATGGCAATAACAATCTATCAGCAATGAAGTGATGAACTAAGAGAGTATTTATCTAAAATCCATTATGAAATGAAATATTATTCCCAAGGTCAAACTTAGAGGCTATTATAGCCTATGATGGATTTGTTAGATTTGATTATTTAGCTGTAGTATGCATCATGCTACTGGAGTGAATATGTACATATGTTTTTAATTAATTAATAAATTACGATCTAACCTGGCTGCGGGTATTACAAAAAAAAAAAAAAATTAATAATTTTATTAGTTATAAATATAAAGACAAATTTTTATAATTTTTGACTTTATACTTTAGATACTATATTACTAATTCTTTAATAATGAGCTTTAATAACATTTTAAATTAATATATGTAAAATAGAATTACTATAATACGAGATATTATAAGTATAAATTCTTGTATTTTATGAACATTAAAGAATTAACGCAATTACTATCTAACAAATAAAAATGCGTAATTGATATTCCAAATGGTCAAAATTAATGTAACTAAATGTTGCCGCCTCGTCAAAATTGCCAATTTTCTAAAGTATCAAATAATCTACCATTAGACCACATCAATTTAAATGCAACTTGCAATACGGTTTCCCATCACGTACATAAAATGAACCATTGAATGGTTCACGACACGTCTATATAAAACAACTTATTAAACACTAATCAAAATAGACTCAACAAAATAATAAATATATAAAACTAACCTCACAACAAAAACAATCATTGTGCCACAATCCACCCATGGCATTGGTATGTTCTCCTCTAATAGGCTCCTGACATCCTTGACACTTGGGTGCTAGAGGTAGAGAACTAAAGTTCAAAAAATGATCGCCGCTATGTGAATATTGATGAAATCTTACCGAATAATCTTGTCCAGTCTTTTTCGCAGTATGGGAAACCATCGTGAACCATGAAGCCTCCAGATTCGAAAGGATTACCACACTCGCGACAAAAAAAGTGTCCCGGGTGCCAGTATTTACCAAGAGCATTAATGCATTGCTAATTAATAAAAAAATTGATGCTTAAATTATGAATAAACAGATAAAATGAAATCGAAAGATGCATACTCCTTCGATTGGCGTGTTGCAGGAACCACATCTCGGACTAAACAACTCATGATAATCCAAGTGACAGTAAGGTAATCCATCCTTCTCATAAAACGAAACGTGTTCTAAAACAATACTGCAGTGAGTACAAGTAAAATGTTCAGGGTGCCATTTTTTTCCCAATGCCGACAAAACATTGCCGTTTATTGGTTTTTCACAAGCCGCACAAATAACAGGTGTAGAACTTGAGGGCTTTGGAATGTTTGTTGGTTTTGGAGTAGTTTGATCATTCAAATTTTTTGTACTGGTAGGTAAAGGCGTGTCTTTGTTCGATTGAACTTTCTTGTCAATATTATTATCCGTTTTAATATTTTTTTGCGAAATTGTGGAATTTTCTTTATCAAGTTGATCAACCGGTGGATATTTTTGCTTTGCCTCGTTGTATCGAGAATTCCAATTTGTATTCGTTTGTGATTTTTGTTGCGATTCCTGTGTCGTTGATTCTAGCTTTTTCTTAGTAGCTGCTGTAGAAGCAGGTTTATTTGATCTAAAAGCAGCAGATATTACGTAACTCCCCTTAGATGGATCATTTTCTACCTTTTTGGTATCCTTTGTTGTTTCGTTATCATCTATATTATCCGGCTGAAAGGAAAGCTTGGTTTCCATAGAATAAGAAAGATCATTCACTATGTCGTCAATATTTCCATATTGTTTCTTTTCTTTTTGACCAGTATTAATCGGTATCTTATTTGTCGAAGTTTTAGGTAATTCTCCAGTTGTTGCCAGATTTGCCTTTGATTCATTCTCCTCGGTATTAGTACTAGAACTTAAATGTGTCTTTGATTCATTTCCTTTAGTACTAACACTGGATGATTGTGGCAAACCAGACAAGCTGTGACGCTTAACAACCGCAACACTATTACTGTTCTCCTGTACTTTTGGTGAATCGCTTAACCGATTGCGTCTGAGAGCGGGTGGAGTACGTGGTCCATGAACCTGTCTTCTCTCACTGTGTAATTGTTGAAAATTTATTTTAGTTGAAAGAGTTGAAAGATAATTCACGACTTGACGTAGTATTAATGAACAACCTCTTTGGCGCATCCTCTGCAAGATGACTTTTAGGAGGCGGAGGTACGTTGATTGAAATTGATCTTCTTGGCGGGGCATTTTGAAGAGCGTTAATAGCAATCGAACTTGCATTATTTACTGGTTTTGGTTCGCTTTCACTAATTTTTTTCAAGTAGTTATCTAATTTCCAAATTCAACAAGAAAAATTATATCTTTCAAAAGAGAAATTTAATTGCGAGACCAGAAATCTACTTACCAAGTTGCTCTCTTGTTAAAAACGACATCCTAGCAATAAGCTAATTGAGTTTGCAGACTAGTTACAAATAAGGGTTAATATGATTAGCGAATCACGCGCTTCTTTCGACTCAGCATACATACAGGGGTGGTATAAATACTGTATGTGTTTTTAAATGTCAGCTTGGCCTTAGCTTTATTTTTTAATGTAAAGTACATACTAAAAAATAATTGAAACCTATAAAGCTAAACGATATGGCCACTTGGGCCATCCTCGGGCATGTTGCTGTCTCTCAAGTAAGAACTAGCAAAAACCACTAGTGCTGAAAAAATTTTGAAAGAGAAAAAGAGGGGAGGTGAAAAATTAAAAGAGTAAATGGAATAGTTATTCCTTACTATGCAACTTATATAGGAGGAAGAAAATTTCATTCACGATATTCATTAAAACCCCTTAGGTAATGTCAGATACATATTTATATATGATAGTAGAAACACTAGTACATAATTTGATCATATTTTAAATTCTTCAATTATTCTTGTATAATATCAGTTGTATTTCAGATACCTTTACCTAGAATCCCTCAAAAACTGTGAGAATCTCAGCCATTGTCTTTGATAATTAACTTGTCTTCCTTGCAGAAGTTTTCAAAACATCAGTACAGATCATATACAGAAGTTAGATACTAATATTCAATAGAAAAAAAATTTTTTTAGAATAAATTATCAAATTATTTTTTCAGAAAATATTGAAAAAAGAAGAAAGGATTCAATTTCATTAAGAATGAGAAAGGGTTAGGAATAGTATTATATGTATTGATATCAATAGGTCAATCTATAAATCATTTTCTTTCAATTCTTGTTATTAAAAAACATTGTAATAGAAATTATTAATTATATATATATTTTTTGTATTCTAAAAATCAAGCTAAGGAATAATTAAAGAAATCAGTGTTCTTGCTTTGAATCTTTTTCAATTTGATAAAACTAGATTGAAATCTATTTGATAACTAAAGATAGGTGATTATATAGTATCTTTAAAAATAAATATAATATCTTATAATCTTTATTATAGTTGAATAAAAATTTTTTGGAGAAAAGCTATTAATATAAAAAAAATTGTATTATTGTATTCATTTATACACATCCTAAATAACTTACAATAGATCTCAATTTTTTTTTTTTTTTAAAACCCATGGTCAAGTCAATACTGTGTGTTTATTAATCAATAAGAAAACTGATAGAGATATATAGGGCAATTGCATCATAGCTAAACTAAAAGACATATATTAATACACTTGTCAATAGCTTTCAATTCTCAAAAGAATTTCAACTTCTAAGTGCAACCTTGGAAATAATATTTCACTCTGGACTAAGTTTTGGGTAGAGATCCTCTAACTTACTTAATATTGTCAGTAAATTGTCACTGCTTATTATTCTCCAAGGAATTAAATTTGATAAACTACAAAAGGAAAAATAAAAAATAAAAGGAAAGGGAAATATCTAAAAATATACAAATATACCTACAGTTTCTATTTAATATTTTTATATTACATTCAACTTTTGAAGCTATCCTCAAACATAAGTTTACTCAATGATTGTACAGTATATTTCATTTATACCTTCTGTTTTTTTGTATCTATACATATGAATTACTTCTCTTTTCTTTTTTTTTTATTCTCTGTCAAGTTAGTTATATATGTTTTATTAAACATTTGTAAGCTGTACATATTAAATGAAACGGTAAAGCTAAATTTCTAACTAACTCACTCGTTTTGATTGTATTACCTCTCTAAGTGTAACTTTGGGAGTGATTTATCACTCCATTAGAGGTTCAGGTGAAAACCCTTCCAACTTCTAACATC